TCCATTATCGCTTTCCAAAATTGATAGTCTTCTCCTTCAAATAATGATGGTCTGTTTATTGAGGCTTCTTCCCTGTAAACTTGATTCTGCATAGACATCTTGACAGATCGTTTAGAAATATGTTATCTAATCAAACTCTGATACCACTTGTTAGACAAATGACATCTAGAGGGAGGTGAATAGAAGCACAAATTAAAATAGATGTCAAATTAAAAATTTATTTTAAGATGTCCAATATTTATTAATTCAATTTTAATTATCAAATCGAACAAAGATAAAGCGGAAGCGATATAACCAGAGAGATATAGGGAAAGATATAAGAGCACAAACATAGGGAACACAAAGAAGGAGAGTAATGCAGTAAAAGAAAAGGAGTGATTAAGGGAAAAGAAGAACACATAGTAATTTATACTGGTTCGGGTATAGCCAACCTTACATCCAGTTCCCAGTCACCTCTACACAAAAGTGACCCCAATTCACTATCTTTAAAATTCAGTTTACAAATTACAATCAACTCAGTAGAGGAACCAGTAAAGAGTAAATTAATTAAAAAGACAATCACCTCCTTAGAAACCCATTAAGGATGAACACCTCCCTAGAATCCTACTATGGATGAACACCTCCTCTGAACAAATCAAAGGATGAAAAACACCTCCTTTGCCCCCAACACACAAATGATGAACACCTCCCTAGAATCACACTAGGGATGAACATCTCCCCAAACAAATCAAAGGGATGAAACAAGACCACACCTCCTAGGAACAAAACAAGGGATGAAACAAGGTCACACCTCCTAGGAACAAATCAAGAGATGAAACAAGATCACACCTCCTAGGAACAAATCAAGGGATGAAACAAGATCACACCTCCTAGGAACAAAGGATGAACAGTTCCCACACAGTAAATCCTAAATAACACAATCAATTAAATAAGAACAATCACACCTGGTAATGGAAACAACAAATTGTAGAAGCCTGTAGAATGCCAACCTCAAAGAACAAGAGTGATTAACAATGAAAGTGCAAAAGGTAATATGAAAAAGTTTTCTCAGAAAACCTAAAAATACTTTATTGCCTTGCTCAGAATTCTTTTCCCAAAACTGATAGAATGTAAATTGAATTTTCGAATTCTGTAATTGTGTGTTTTTTTATTTTTTATCAAAACTCATTTGAAGAGGCAAAATAGCATCAGAAAATAGTCGTTGGTCATTAATACTTTCATAGAGAAAAATCAGAATGTATTCAAAAACATTTATTCTTCAAAACAGATATATTTTTCAAATTTGAATTGCCATAATCGATTATGTTACCAGTATAATCAATTATGATAGAGAAAATCGTTTTTCCATTTCTGATGCATCATAATTGATTATGACAGTGAAAAATGTTATGTTACAAAATTTTATCACACTTGTGCTTTGGAGGCTTTGGAGGCTTATGCATAATATTATTTTATCAACTTGTACCTCCATATCCAGTATTCTAAGACTATATCTAGTCTTCAAGAATCATCTTGGACTTGCTTGAATCTTGAATAAAATCTTTATCAAACCATATTTTGGGCTTGCTTGAGTCTTGAATGTTGTTGACTTGAATCATCATCAAAATCATCTCTTAGAAATGTAGAGACATGTTTCACATTGTCATCAATTCTCCCCTCATTACTTTCATATACTATGTCAATTCTTAATATAATAGTCACAAAACTTTTATTTTTTTTATATAGTTATATTTTTCACAAACATTTTATAGTTTCAATACGACAACAAATTTTAAAAATTAAAGATAAACATTATCCATAAAAAATTAATTAAATATAAAATGTATATAATTCTCACTTAAATTTGATGAAAAATCATTCACAAGAGAAAAAATTTATAATAACAATTACAATCTAACATATATCGAATATTTCATTAAATCAAATCATGAAATACAAATTAAAACATAAAAATTAAACAATATTTTCATATATTTACCTCTATTGTAAATGAAGAATAAGCAAGATTGTGCGAAATGGTGATACAAACATGAAGACAAAAGTAGATAAATGTGATAAGAAGATAATAAAACAAAAAAAAGAAAAAACTGAATAGAATTCTTTGACGTGCAAGGAAAAAAATAAACATGAAAAGATAAAACAAATTTGGAAAATTTTAAATCTGAGCATTTTTTATAACGGTTTAATTTTAAACCAACATAAAAAGTATCTCGTATTTAAATTTGATAAAATTGTCAATTCAAAATTGAACTATTATAATAAATACTTACTATAACGACTTAAAACTAAATTAGCATAAAAAATGTTTAAATTTATAATTTACAAAGTCACTTTTTAAAATTGAACTAACATAACAAAATTAATTATTAAATAATCATAATAAATTATTATAAAATATTGTTTTTTCACTTGTATAAATATTTTGAATGCTTCTTATATTCTAATTTTCTTTTAAAATGAAACATATGTAAAATTATTTACTTAATTAAACTTATTTATTATTATTACATAAAATTTTATGTATAAAATTCAATACTGAAAAATAAATTTATGTGACATAATATTATTATTTTCCCTTTTTCTCATTTATTTTTTTATTTTCTCTCTCTTCATTTACTTCTTGTTATTCTCTTCTTTTTATTCATTCAATGTTTGTTTTATTTTTTCTCTCATATTCTCTCACTCCATCTTATATTTTTAATTAAAATTACTATATTTAAATATGATAAAATGGGTCTTTTATTATTTCTGAAAAAATAAAAATATTTACATTATCCAACAATATTATAATTTAATATATTATATTTTAAAAAATATTATATAATAAATTTTAGGTATTACACACATCATTATTATGTTATAATTATTAAAAAATTAATAAAATTTTAATAACTAATCATTATTACTCAATTTAATTATAATTAGATTAAATTATTAAATAAAATATACTTAAATTATAAATATTTGATATTTTTAATTAAATAAATAATTAATTTTAAATTAATTATTTAAAACATCTAAATTAAATTATATACTATTATAATACATACAATTATTTATTATCATAATAAATAAAATTATTTAATATCATCATAATTTTAAATAATTAATTGATATTTTTTTAGTTTGAATATTAATTTTAAAAATATTATTTTAATATATTTTTATTGAATTTTAGTATAGTAGTTTAAATGAGAAAAATAAGTGAGAAAGAAAAAAATAAAAATAAAAACATGTAATATAAGAGAAAAAAATAAAAAAATAATGAAAAGAGATAAAAATAAAAAAATTATAAAAAAATTACATATGAAATAATAACTATATATATCTTAATAAATAAATTAATATAAAAAATTAAGTAATTTTTTTTTAATCTCGTTTAACATTATGAAACCGGATATAATAACGGGGGCTTGTAGCTTTGGCTAAGAAGTCACGTGATGATGGGTGGATATGGATATGCTTGACACCGACACTAGATATCATACGAGTGACGTATCTTTAGTATGTGTCACCACCATCGACCAAACAAATCCAGTGAGAAAACCTTTGGAACTTGTTGGCAATGAAGTTATCACAATATACAATATCGTTATTAGCATTCAATTATTCTCAACAAATAAATCATTATATTTCTTACAATCAGGATAGGATACACTCGTATCAGTACCTGGGGAATTGGTTTGTAGTTGAGTTTGAGGAAAAAAAATTAAATTAGATGGAAACAATACGGGTTCAAGTTTTTCTATTTCAAAAATTAGAGGTGGACATAAATATAAATATTATAATTTTTTTTTATCAAATTTTATATTTAAATTTAAATTTTAAAATATTAATAATTTAAATTTTTTATTATATAAGATTAATTTATTTTATTTTTTATTTTTTAATTTTTATATAATTATTTCATTATATTATATTATTTTATTTATCTTTTACTTTTTTTATAATTTTTTTACCTTTTCCATTAATTTATTTTTTATAATCTTTTTAACCAATTTAATAAATATAAATTTAATCTAATTTTTATTTTTAAAATATTTTAAATAAATCTTCATAATAATTAATATTAATTTATTTATAATTTATTTTTATTATATTTTATTATATTAATTATTTTATTTATAATTTATTTTTATTATATTATTTATTTTATATTTTATTATTTTTATTTATCATATATGAAATTTTATTTTAATAAAATAATTATATTTTAAAAATTAGAAAAATATTTTAAATTTTTATTATTTTAAATTAATTAAATAAAAATTAATTTATTAAGTATTTTTTTATAAATTATATTTTATATTTTAAAATCACAACTTAAAAAAATTATTTTTTATATGTAATTAAATATTTAAATATATAATAATAATAATATATTTTATATTTATATAAAAAATAATTAATTTTTTTATATACATATATTAATATAAATATAATAAATTAAAATATATATTTAATTAATAATAATTATAAATTATAAAATTTATTTATATATTAAAATTAATTTATTATAAATATAATTTTTTTTAAATAATGTAAATCAGCATCAGGAAAAATCCAAAATTTAACAAAGATTAAAATTTAATTTCTCACATCAACAACAGCGTGATAGGGCGGAGCGTAACGGTTAAAATAGAGTTGTGGATCCGCATGGAAAGCTCTTATTTCGTATTAAACACATATGATGTTTTAAATTAGTCTTAATAAATTTATTTAATAACATTACTAATATCTAAAACATTTATAATTATTAAATAAAGCAGAGCTGCATATAATTTCAATGCGAAGGTTCCTCTTTAATGAATAAAAAGTAAATATAAAATGTTCAAATTTATAGTATACAGTGACATGATACAAGAATGAAACCCTGTAAGAACAACATAGGTGTTTATATCAAACTGGTAAACTTGGTAATTGCAAAGCCCGACTCAAAATCATAGCAGGAATTTATTATCAATGAAAATCAGATGATGGTAATTATTCAAATGTTCCTTCTAAGCGGTGGAGGTAAAGTTGAAATTTGCGCAGGTAGTTCGGATTCCATAGAGCAATGAGCTGAAACCCAATCTTGAAGTGGCCAAATCGAACTGCAAGAGATTATCCTCCAGTTGATACCCACCAATCACAATGGAAGTCCTCGGCTTCGGTCCACCATTCACCAACCCAAGACACAGCACCTTATCATCGCTCACACTCACCATTGAGTTCGCTCCGAAAATCCTCCAAATCGTGTTCTGGTTCTGCAACACAAGCTCAATGGTTGGCACCGACGCCCCTAACCTCGTGCTCAACACGTTCTTACTGCTGAAACACACTTCAAAAGGCGCCACTGCGGCCACCCTCGTTATATTCCTCGCAGCAGATGCTTTTACAAAAGCCTCCGTCACTGCTTTGAAGATGGAAGCCTCTAACACAGTGTAAGGGTTAACGGAACTGATCTTCGTTCCGCCAACGCCGTCGCTGTTTATGGATAGCAAAGTCATGTTAACGGGCACAGCGTTTTCGTCGATTCTGATGGATTTCACGCCGATGAAATACTCGGCGGAGGGGTCTCCCTGGGAGAAAGCGGAAGCGGTGCTAACGGGGTTCAGCAACAGTGGCGTGAAGGTGAATAACTGAGAAGCCTCGATGTTGGGGAGAAGAACGTAGGGGCCGTCGCCGAAGAAAGCGACCCCCTTTGAGGAGGAGAGGCAGACGGCGAATTTTCTGTGGAAGCTAAACGCGGAAGCGAACTGCGAGGGAAGCGCGATTTTCGTTCTACCGAGACCGGCCATGCCGGAGACTCCACTGGCGAGTCCTTGGAGTAGGAAGGTAGGGGCGCAGGAGAAGAGGAAGCGGTAAACGGTGACGTTTCGTCCCGGGTTGAAGCCGTTGGTGGATTGGACGGAGACGGCATCTTGGGCGAGCTCACCGCCGGTAGCGGTGTGAGTGATTGTATTGTCCGGTGTGAGGCCGCACGTGTTGTTGTTGCAGCCGGGTCTGGGGGCGGAGAAGCAGTCACCGCAGGAGGTGGATCCGGCGAGGGAGCACTGGGAGGAGCGGCAGCGTGCAGGGCGGTAAGTGGAGGAGACGTAGTTGCTATCGCAATCGACCCAGAGGAATTGACCTCCGATGTCAAGCACAAGATTTAGTGGGACAAGAGGGGTTCTTTGGTTGATATGAGTTACGTATTGGAGAGTTGATGCATCTTTTGTAACGGGGACAACGAGGGCTTTTGGCCTGAAAGATTGTTGAGCGAAAGAGGGTGCAATGAAGAGAAAATGGAAGAGAGTGAAGAGAAGTAGAAAGTTAGAAGTATTATCCATGAGTTTGTATGAGAATTGAAATAGAAATGAAATTGTCGTAGAGATGGTGCAGAGGTGTCTCTATTTATATGTGAACGGGAGTTGCCACCTTTGATTGGTTTACGCGGTGCAGTACGCCAAGGGCAATTCACATGCTCCCTTCGTCAAACATGACTGCCTCTATGAACCTTTTTTGATTTAATCTCTTTTATTGTTTTGGAATCCTTACCTATTTATATCCCAAATCCACTCGCATCAAAACTTAAGTTAGCCAGCTGTTTATTGTTCTCAGTGGTTTAACAATTGTGTGTAACTAGATTATCTACAAATGGGACACGTGTATCTTTGATTTTGATGGGTTGATTTTGCGACACATCTTAATCAGTTTCTATTATTATTAAAATTCAATTTTATTATATTGACACAAGGATTTTTTTTTTCGCTTAACTTTATTTTAACATAAATTTTAATATATAACATACTGTAATATTTATATAAGCGGTACATTTTTATAAAAAATTAAATATTTAAAGATTTTATTTCTTTACTAATATCTTATTAAATTTATAATTCAAAAATAACACCATTCTATTAATATTTATCTAATTAGCATAATTTTCTTACATAATTAGAATTTGATTATTAGGAGACCAAATTTTAACTTCACTAATTAATATAATTTTAAAAATAAAATAATATTTATTAAATATAATAATTAAATATAAATATATATATATATATATATATATATATAATATATATATATATATATTATATATAATATATATATATATATATATATATATATATATATATATATATATATATATTCTTTTTAAAAAAATATTTATATAACTATATTATTAATATATTTTTATAAATATAGTAAAAACAAATATATTTAATATATATATATATATAATATTTAAATATTTATTTATATTTTTATAAATATAATTAAATTTAATAAATATATATTTATATATTTCTATATAACATTTTTACATAAATAAATTATATATATTATTTAAATATATTTTTAATATAAAATAATTTTAATAAGTAAAATAATATTTTTTTATAGAAATATATAAATATTTTTATTATTTTTATTATATTTTAATATATTTTTACTATATTTATAAAAATATATTAATAATATAATTTTATAAATATATTTTTATGTTATTTAAAAAAATATATTTATATTTATTTCATATAATTATATAAATAATTTTTTTAAATATATATATATATATAATATTTATATATTTATTTTATATAAATATATATATATATATATTTAATTATTATATTTAATAAATATTATTTTATTTTAAAAATTATATTAATTAGTGAGGTCGAAATTCAGTCTCCTGGAAACCGAATTCTAGTATGTAAAAATGGTGCTAGTTAAGTAAATATTGATAAAATGATGTTATTTTTTAATTATAAATTTAATAATACGCTGCTGAAGAAAAAAATCAAAATGTGTAATTGAAACATTTAAACTGAGAGAGAAAAAATACTATTTTTATTTATTAATTTTTTTTAGAATTTGTTTAAAAAGATATATAATTAAATTATATTTATTTCTAAAATTATAGATTGTTCTATATATGATAGGTAACGTGTAAATCACCTATGAGTTATCACGATGAAAAACTGAATTCAAGTGATGAAATCACTTGTTTGAGCCTTACACGTTTTTTTCAAGTACATTTTTTTAATGGGAAGAAAAATTATGTGAATTTCAACATGTTCATGGAAATTAATTATAAAAAATATTTTTTTTGTCGTGTATAAGAGAGTCACCTAATATGACAAAAAAAAAAAAATAGTGATTGGGCATCTACAACAAAAAGTATAGATTTATGATTACCTATGATGAGTTGTTTCCATCCATTATAAAATAATCAATGTTAAGAAAATGTATGATGGTGTTTCCTAATTAATCATAACATATTGTATTGGCTACAATTTAAACATGTAAAAAGTATTTTTATATGAATGTTTGAAACATCATGTGCTTCTTCACTTCCTCATATCCTTGGCAGGAAACATTCAGATATTCTTATCACTCTAACTCACCTTCAAATATACTATATTAATGTTTTATATTTGTAAATTATTCTATTAATAATTATCCTTTTTCCCTATCTTTTATTTTTTATTATTATTATAAATAAAATAAAAGGTAAAAAAATATCTAGACGAGATAAAAATAACGTTGAATATATATATATATATATATATATATATATATATATATATATATATATATATATATATATATGAGACAATAAAAAAAACTGAAAAATAAAATTGTTTAAAAAGAAAAAGAAAAGTGAAAAAAAAACAATGAATGAAAAGATAATAAGATGTCAGATTAGTGTGATTGAATAAAAAAATTAAATAATAATATAATATGTATAGTAATCAAAATATCATAATAAGTAAAATAAATATGTGATATAATTAATATAAAATAATTATTTTATAATATAGATAAAAATGAGAGATACATTAAAATTATTTTATATATAAATTATTAAAATAAATTATGATATTTTATAAAAATATTTGTTTATTATCTTAATAACAATCTATAAGTCATTTTAAAATTTATAAGTTATTTTAAAATTGTAAAAATTTGATTTCATACAAAATACAATATTTAACTAATATTGAAATAAAGTACATTGTTAATATTATATACATAGTCATCCGAGCATATTTACAGTCATCCAACAAAAATTTAAAATAAAAAATATAATAATAAATAATAAAATTACAGTCATCCAACCAAAAATATAATTATCTAAATAAAAATATTACAACAAAAACAATAATCCAAAATAAATAAATAAATAAATAAAAGTACATTCATAAAAAAAATACTTAAATAAAAAGATAAATATAAAAATAAATGAAATATCAAGACTTTACGGATTTGATTTGTGTCTTTAAATTGATCAATGGTGAACGTAATTATTACTCTGTGAAGACTCTAATAATTATTCAAAATTACTATTTTGAAAATTAGACCAAACAAGAACTATATTAGAAACAAGAACTAGATTAGAAACCTGTCTATTGCTTCCAAATAACCAAACTTTAATTAAATTAGAAGAAAATCATTAAATGAAAAAACCAGTTGGGTTGTTGAGTAAAACCCGTTTTAGAAAAAAATATTTAAAATCATTTTTTTAATATAATTTTTTTATAAAAAGATATAATATATTTTAATTTTTTTAATCACATATTAATAATAGTTATTTTATTATATTTTTATCTTATTTTAAAAATTAATCATCTTTCACTTTCTAATATATTTATATTTATAACTTTTATTTAACTTAAAGTAATCATGACAATAATTATTATTATCTTTCTTTCTTTATATAAAAAATATTATTAGTAATTAACTTTTTATATATTTATTATATTATAAAAATATTATTTTATTAAATCCAGTTGAACTCGATTGAATCTTTAAACCCCGAACCCATGTCTTCACCAATTCGATGATCGGGTTGGTTTTAAAAATATTGACTTTAAGTCTACTTATGAGTTATTGCATGTCCTGAACACCTCTCAATATTAAATTTATGGTATAAGTTTGTTGGGGAAGATATATTTGTTCTCCTTAAGTGACTGCTTGTTCTTGTTGAACCCTCACATCTTCATTGAAAGGGTTATCTTTCTCAAGGTCGAGTTGTTGGACATGGTGACCTCTACCATGTTGTCATGCACCATCAACATTTACCACATTCAAATTTTTCAAAGATCTCTCATTAAACCTGTTTCTCCAACCTAGGGACAAACTTGACTATTAAGTTAAGTCCAAGCCATAGTAAGATACGAGTGATTAAAAGATATAAAGTAGAGACATACTATTAGTCTTACATTTTCTCATATTCTTATGATATAGTGAGGCTAATTAATCGGAATTGAAAGCAATAAGAGGGAGATTGATGGAAATGTTCCTGCATTCCCAAGAGATGATTTTGATGATGATTCAAGTCAACTACATTCAAGTCAACACCATTCAAGATGAATTTAAGGACAAACTGAATTTATGATGTAGGTGATAAAGATGATGATTCAAGCAAGCCCAAGATGATTCTTGAAGACTAGATAGAGTCTTAGAATACTGGATATGAAGGTACAAGTTGATGAAGTAATATTATGCATAAGCCTCCAAAGCACAAGTGTGATAAAATTCATAACATGATATTTTCCATTGTCATAATTAATTATGATGCACCAGAAATGGAAAAATGATTTTCTCTATCATAATTAATTATACTGGTAATATAATCAATTATGACAATTCAAATTTGAAAAATATATCCGTTTTAAAGAATAAATATTTTTTAATACATCCTGATTTTCTCTATGATATTATTAATATCCAACGACCATTTTCTGATGTTATTTTTCTATTTAAATAAGTTTTGATGAAAAATAAAAAATACACAATTACAGAATTCGAAAATACAATTTACATTCAATCAGTTTTGAGAAAAGAATTCTGAACAAGGCAACAGAGATATTTTACACATTTTGAGAAAACCCTCTTCTCTATTGCCTTCTGTGCTTTCATTGTTAATCACACTTGTTCTTGGAGATTGACATTCTACAGGCTTCTACAATTTGTTGTCTCCATTACCCAGGTGTGTCTGTTCTTATTTTTATTACCTTCATCCTTTTTGCATTGGTGGAAAAGGAGGTGTTTTTCATCCCTAGTGTGATTCTAGGGAGGGGTTCATCCTTAGTGGGATTCTAAGGAGGTGTTTTCATCCTTTGATTTGTTCAGAGGAGGTGTTCATCCCTAGTGGGATTCTATGGAGGTGTTCATCCTTAGTGGGTCTCTAAGGAGGTGACTGTCCTTTTAATTAGTTTACTTTTTACTGGTTCTTCTGCTGAGTTGATTGTAATTTGTAAACTGAATTTGAAAGATAGTGAATGGGGAGTCACTCTTGTGTTAAGAGTTGACTGGGAATTGGATGTAGGGT